CACATGGTGTGTTTTAGGCCACAAAAAAAAGCATGAAATTCGGACATGAAAAATGACTTGTAATCTGCCTTGTTAAACAACTCTACCATGGCAACTTGGCTCCAACATAACTTCATGCTCAAGAAACCAAAATTCTTGCTCTTAGTATCAATGTAAAGATAAGATCATGGACTCCAACTTTGATTTTGAACACTTTTTTAGAAACATCTTGCATCAAGGAGAAATCTTGCCATCAAAAATCAAAGTTGAAGCTGATTTACACATAAAACTTTCTAAGTGTTTGGCAATTTTGACAATTTTGACATCTCATTTTGCCATGATCCAATAATAAATTGTGGAATGCCTTTGTACTAAAACTCTTCACCATGATTTAGTATGGCATGTGATCTTGATTTGCAACCCTTGTTTGCTCAAAATGGATGCTTGAGAAGAAAGTTACAACATTGAAAAGTCACTACCATGAACATGAAATTTTGACACATAGAATTTTTCTAAATTTATCAATTTGAATAATTTTCACAAACTTCTTGATTTTCCATGATTTCCTTGATAAAAATCAATCAATCATCATACTTCTTGAACTTTTGAATTGAAATGGTCCATTTTGGCCAAAAAATCCTAAAGTCAAAGTTTAACTTTTATGCATTTGTGTTGACTTTTTTTAATTGAATCAATCTCCTTTTAAAAACAATGAAACCCTAGAATATTGGTCAATGTTGAGTATATTGAACCACTTTGAGGACCATGGAATAATGATATTGATAATCCTTAATGATGCATCTTGAAGTCCAATTTAGAAACCCTAAATCATGATTTTCATTTGATGATGCCAAAACTATAATCTTTAAGTACAATGCCTTGATGCTATTCAATAATGTAAATAAAGGTGGAATTTTAGGGGTAAAAATTAGGGTATGACAACCATCGAACTTGTCTTACTTTATAACTTGGGGTTGTCTGACTTATGTTAGAATTCTGGATCTGAAGTGAGTTAAACCCGCTAGTATAGCCTATGTATGTGTATTCATTGGGTATGCAACAAATATTAAGGCATATAGGTCTTTTGACCAAAATGTTAAAGTGATCATAAAATCAAATGATGTTGAATTCTCTGAAGATAAATTTTCTTTCAAATCGAGAAATAGTGGGGGAATTGAATCAAATCAGATTCTTATGATAAGAAGCACATAAAGCAACAACGGAGTAGAAACAAAACTTCGACAAACTGAATATGTAAGAGTTGCTAAAAACTATGAGGCCGATTATGTGGCATATAGAGTAGAAGAAGATCCAATAAATCTTCAAGAAGCCTTGTCATCTCTGGATGCAGAGTTATATCAAGAAGCTATTAACGATAAGATAAATTCTATAGAATCTAACATGACCTGACACATAGTAGACTTGCCTCCTGATTGCAAACCAATCAGTAGTAAATGGATTTTTGAGAAATAAACTAAAACTTGATGGAACAATTGCTAAGTCAAGGCTCACTTGTAGCCAAAGGTTTTAGGAAAAGAAAAATATAGATTTCTTTGATACTTTTTCTCCAATCACTATAATTACATCCATTAGGATACTCATTTCAATTGCTATTATTTATAACCCAAGAATACACCAAATGGATGTTAAGAGAACTTTGTTAAAATTTGACTTAGAAGAAGAAATCTATATGGATCAATTGGAAGTGTTTGTGATTCATGGGCAAGAAAATAAGCTCTCTAAGTTAGACAAGTATTTGTATGGCTAAAACAAACTTCAAAGCAATAGAATGAAAAGTTTGATAACTTAATGATATTGAATGAGCACAATGTGAATGAAAGTGACAAATGCATTTATTACAAATCAGAGAATCATATTTACACTATCATATGTATCTACATAGACGACTTAATCATATTTGGATCAAACCTTCATGACAATAATGATATGAAATCATTATTGTGAAACAACTTTAACATGAAAGATCTCAGAGAAAGTAATGTGATTCTTGGTATCAAGTTCACTAGATCTGGACAAGGAATTTGTTTAGATCAATCTCACTATATGGAGAAGATCTTAAAGAAATATGACTACTTTAATTGTAAATCTATTTGCACACTATATGATCACAGTGTTAAACTATTTAAGAACATTGGTGACAATGTTAGACAAAATGAGTTTGAGAGCATCATTGGCAGTCATAGGCATGCCACTACTTATACTAGACCGAACAATGAGCATTGGAAAGCTATTGAGAGAGTCATGTGATATCTTAAGAGGACCATGAATCTTGGTCTACATTATTAGAGATTTCCTAATGTACTTGAATGATGCAGTATTGCATATTGGAACACCTTATCTGATGATTCTAAAGTAACAAGTGGCTATATATTTAATATAGTTGAAGATTTTGTATCTTGGAAATAAAAGAAACAAACTATCTTGGCTCAGTCCACAATTGAGTCTGATATGATAACATTAGAGACTACTAGTGAAAAAGCAAGTTGGTTGAGATGCTTGCTAGTTGAGATTCCTTTATGAAAAAAATATGCCAATTGTGTTGATCTATTACGATAGTGCTGCGACTATATCAAAAATTGAGAATCGTTATTATAATGGTAAGAGACATCAAATAAGGAGGAATAACAACACAGTTAGAGATTGTATCTCTAAAGAATTTGTAAGAATGAATCATGTTTACACTGATGAAAATTTAGCAGATCATTTGATGAAAGGATTAGTTAGAAAGAAAGTTCATAATACATCTAAGAAGATATGACTAATGCCTAAAATGAGTTACTCGTGATGGTAATCCCACCTAGTAGACTAGAGATCCCAAGAAATAGGTTTAATGTGTAATAACAAGTAGTGAATAATACGACGTGATCATGTTAGTATAAATAAGAGAAGCATGAATCCTAAAGCGAAAATATGATGAGATAATTGAAACTCTTAATAAGATCTATACTCTGTATGAGGGAGTACCTAGATACAAGAGTACTCTTGATAGACTCACCTATGTGATTCTGAAACTTAGGTTGGTTCCTATGGAATTTCGAGGAAAAATTCCTAAAACTTTCACTAAATCGAGATACACATGTAGGGTCATTAAAGCATGGACTATTAAAATACACTTCAAGAAAAGGTTGTGTGCGGGTTTGATGTCTGAGATAGAGTTCAAGACAATTGTGCCACTCTTTTTGAATCAAAATTCTACTTGCTATGTAAAGGTTTAAGTGGTAGACACCTTTGTTTACGCACAATCTTAGAAACAGTTGACGTTACTTCTGAAACACTTTTTAAATTCAAGTGGGGGATTGTTGGAACATTATGTCAATATTCCAATACATGTAGATAGATTTGAAAAAGTTCTTTAAGTCCCACATTGTGTGTTAGTTGAAAAATTCTTTAGTCCCACATTATTTAGGTGAGATATCTTATCTAGCTTATTTCATTATATAAGAAAATAACTTATTTCATTCAAAAACACACCAAAAACTTCTATTGAGTTTTTTCTTCATCACTCTCATAACTCCGCGTCTTTCGAATTGTCGAAGCGTCAATTTTGCTCCTTTCTTTCTACCCGTTGAATTTTCCGAGTATTTTCTTGAATTCTCTTTAGAGAATTATTTTAATTTCACCTCGTTTGAGTTTAGAAATTAAAAGTATTAACTTTTGGATTCTCTTTAGATAATTATTTGAATTTATCATTGAGAAATTATTTAGAGTGATCAAATGACCATTATTGAATTCTATTGGAGAGTTATTTATTTCTCATTGTTTGAGGAATTATTACGACTGGTTTATATATCAGATATTATGAGTGATGTTTATACCATATTCGTCTGATTTTTGGGCCATCAGAAGGTGTATTTCTAGACTGGTTATTTACTGTATACGTAGTAATCGTACAATATAGAACTAAGTTATTTTATCTTGGAGGCGACTTAGTTGAGTGATTGCTTTGTATAACTTTGGACAGTACCATGAATTGTCTTAAAGAGAGTGACCTAGTTCGCGACTCGATCCGATAATTTTTTCAGTGGCAATATTTCAAAATCGTAAAACAACATCATCAAATAAGGAAAAAATGTATTCGACAATGATAAAAATAACACAATCATTTCTCTTATTATGCATACACATAGATGTAAATAAAAAGTTAATTTGTATATGAAAAACCTGCAATAGCTGCTTCATGAATGAGTTCTCCTACATTAGGTGCCAAGATATGCACTCTCAAGAAATTGCTGCAAATTTTGAAGGGTGACAATATTTTACAAAAATGTATTTTTGAAATTCGGAGATATATTTCTGAATAAATTTTTTAACCAAAATAAAAATGTTTTACTTGCAACATCTCTTGTGATGTTATTTTAGGTCTATTCAGAAATACATTTCTAAATACAACAAAAATATTTTTCGGTTTTTAGAGGTAAAGAGAAAGTATTTCCCATTTTAGAACTTGAGAAAAGCTATTCCTTCTGTTTTAAAGTGACTGTCGTTTTAATAATAAAAAAATTGTTTTAAAATGAGTGTCGTTCTCACTTTCCAATGTAGTAATGATTACTATTTTTTCAATTGTACTATTTACTTTTTATTTTCTATACTACTTCCAATATTTTAATAGAATTAATTTTATAAATATGCAATGTCTTATGACAATATCATTGTATTCCTTAATTTGTGTGAAAAATCTTAAACGACATCCATTTATTTTAAAATGGAGGGAGTATTAGATATAAATATTTATTTATAATCTTAAAATTAAAGAACCTATTAGATATATAAATAGTTATTCTGTATTAGGTTTATATGCTTGAGTTGTGAAAATTAACCATAGCCTAAATTAATATTTCAATTTAGAGGAACATATCAAAACACGAAGTGAGGTGCTTTGGTGTCTTCATATCCATCCACCACCAGACAAATATTATCTTTTTTTTTTTCAAAATAAAAATAACATTCTCTCTTCCAACCCCAACTCAACCAAGCTTGTGTCTACCACACACGAAAAAACCATGTCATCTATGGTTGCAGGTACCTCATCTTCATGTTCTGCCACCTTCACCACAATCAAAAACTCTCATCTCACACCTTCCAAGACACTCACTCCTCCATGCCAGGTACTGTTCTTTTCTTTGCATGATTTACAAGTACAATTTATAATCATGTCTTTTGATATTTTTTATTCTTGCATGTGTTTATCTGCAGAAAACTTCTTTGCTAGGACTCTCACTTCATGAAGCCAAAAGGGGTGTTTCAGGATCTTTCTATAGTGACAACAAAAATGGCTCTTCCTCCATTGCTAGAAGGAGACTCGAGATCACTGCAAAAACTGCTGGAGCTTCTAAGACAATTGAGGCTGAAGTTGATAAGCCACTTGGTCTCACTTTAGGCCAAAAGAATGGTGGTGGTGTTGTCATAACTGTCAGTATCTTGCTCACTTTCTCATTAATTCAATGTAATTACAGACCTGGTTTCATATAAAACAGACTCTTCAGATTAAAACCGTGTCTGATTTTCGACACGTGTCAGTGTTTGACACAAACACGGATACATGTTACATGTGATTACATTCATATATTTTACTTTCTGATGTGTGTGTTAGTGTATGATCTTTGACATGTGTCAATGTCAGACACCGATACATGTATGATGATGTTTGAAGGGAATGATTTGAATTTGTTAATGAAGATGATTATTATCTTGTTTAGGCAGTTGAAGGTGGGGGAAATGCAGCAAGAGCAGGGTTAAAGTCAGGGGATCAAGTTCTTTATACCAGCAGTTTCTTTGGAGATGAATTATGGCCAGCAGATAAGCTTGGATTCACTAAAACTGCAATCCAAGCTAAGCCTGATTCTGTCTACTTTGTTGTCAGCAGGTATTTTCTTGCCTTTTGCTATAATCTTTGTTTCATTTTCTTAGTGAAAGTACTAGTATTTCTAATAAGTTCAGTTTGTTTATCAGTTACATAACAGCTGCAATGGCATAACACTTTGAATATTTTCATGTTTTTGTTATGAAGGGGTGCTGATGTAGATGTTAAAAGGCTTCCGAAGCGTCCTGCTCCTCCTCGCTTCGGGAGAAAATTGACAGAATCTCAAAAGGCAAGAATCATTTTTCAGTATGGAATAATTCTCATTCCTGCCTATACCTTTTCTTTACATGATTCAAATGGTTAATCATAATCATGCAGGCTAGAGCTACTCATATTTGCCTTGACTGTGGATACATATACTTCTTACCAAAATCCTTTGATGACCAGGTAAGTCCGCCAGGCTTTATCTTCTCGATCTATATTGCACTGTCACTTCATATTGAAAATGTGTCAGATGTCTAAGTGTCTAAGTGTCAGTGTCGTATCCGGCCGTGTTTTGTAGTTCTTTACATATGATTGTTATTTGAATGCTATTTATGTTATTGCAGCCGGACACATATGGTTGTCCACAATGTCAAGCGCCGAAAAAGAGGTTTGCTCCATATGATGTTAACACCGGAAGAGCAGTCGGGGGTGGAGGGTTGCCTCCAATTGGAGTTATTATTGGACTTGTGGCTGGTTTAGGTGGTGTTGGAGCATTGCTTGTTTTTGGTCTTCAGTGATAAAATATTATTATACTACATTTTAGTGCAAACTGAAGTTTGTAGCTTACAAACTCATTTATTGTATATGTGCAAGTTGAAGCTATACGTATGAGATTGAGCATGTTCTGCAAAATGAATTCCAAACTATTAGCAATTTGCAGAGCTAAATGTGATGATTATCTACTTGATAACGTTGTCCATTGAAGTTGACCCTATTATCTTGTTCACTATTCAGATTGGCTCCCAATTGATCCTAAAGGGAAAATAATACACAAATAACCAGGAGAATGGACCATAATGTCTGTTGATACTATGGTAAAGTAACTATTGCCAACTCATATCGTTTTGTTTGCTTGAATTCAACAAGTAAACTCAAGCAAAAAAATGTATCAAATCACTGTAATAAAGATTCATATTGATAACCTTGTAGTTGTGTCAAACAAACTAAGTTATGCCTCCAAAAAGAATACACCTTAATTGGTTTTTTAAATTTAGTAACTGCTGTTCAGTTTTTTAATTAGTTATAGTGTTGTAATGTGGTAGTTATTGGAAGTTTTAGCTTTGTGAACCTATGTAAAAGAGGGTGTGCATGTTAAGTTTGTGTATCAGACCAATTATATGAATCAAAGCATTTATTTTCTCCTCTCTCCTGTTCATTTTTTTGCAACTATTTTTATTCAATTAACAATAATTGGTATCTAGAGCTCTCTTCTTGAGGGACCTGTGAAATGGATGATGAGTCAAGTTTTTCAAAAGTTACCCCTCCTTTCTTTTGATGGGAACAACTATAACATTTTGGCAGTTAAAATGGAATCTTACCTAGAAGCTTTGGACGCTTGGGAAGCCATGGAAGAGGATTATAAAATCTCTCTGCTGCCGAATAATCCTACTATGGCTTAGATGAAATATCACAAGGAGAAAAATATTTAAAAAGCAAAATCATGTCTCTTTGCTGGTGTTTCAGAAACAATTTTTACTAAAATCATGACCTTCAAAACACCAAAAGCAATATGAGACTATTTGAAGGAAGAATATGCAGGGGATGAGAGAATTTGAAGCATGCAAGTGCTGAATCTGATGAGAGAATTTGAGTTGCAGAGAATGAAAGAGTCTGAGACAATAAAAGAATACTCAGCAAATTACTTTCTATTGCAAACAAAGTTAGATTACTTGGCACTGGATTAGCTGATTCTAGAATTGTAGAATATTTTTGGTTACCATGCCTGAAAGATATGAGGCATCTCTAGCCTCTTTAGAGAACACAAATGATCTATGTAAAATCACTTTGGAAGAAGTCATTCATGCCTTGCAAGCACAAGAGCAACGAAGGGCCATGAGGCAAGAAGGAATTGTTAAAGGAGCTTTAGCAGTCAAGCATCAAAATGTGGGAAAAATCAAGAAAGATTTTGGTGAAATTGGAGTAGGCTCAACATCAACCAATACAAAAGAAAAGAATGAAATTCGAAGAAAATATTATTGACCTTGTCAACACTGTGGAAAGAAAGGCCATCCATCATTTAGATGTTAGAGAAGACCTAATGTTAAGTGCACTAAGTGTAATCAAATGGGAGATGAAGTTGTTATATGTAAGAACGAGAATCAACAACATAGCGATGAGGCAAAGGTTGTTGATCAAGAAGAAGAGGAGGAGGATCACTTGTTCGTTGCAACATGTTTCTCTAGCATCGAATCAAGTGAGAATTGGCTGATTGATGGTTGTTGTACTAACCACATGACAGATAACAAGGGTTTATTCAGAGAACTAAGCAATGTAAGTTCATCGAAAGTTTAGGTTGGAAATGGCCACTATATTGATGTAAAAGGAAAAGGAACAATAGCAATCTCAACCTCTTCAGGTACAAAGTTCATTTCTGATGTGTTGTATGTTCCTGAAATTGATCAAAATCTTATAAGCGTTGAGTGTTGTACCCCAAAATTTGCCCTCTTATTTTTTACAAGATCTTCTCTTATAAACCTAAGGTTGCTTGTGTGATTTGTTTGCTTTCAGCTTGAACTACTTGCAGGATTTTATTATCTGACAACATGATTTTCTTGCAGGATTTGTTTACAGTCACTATCCAATAACCTGGATTTCTTGCAGGGTTTACTTGCTTACATAATCTTACACTTTTGCTTAGCGTATTGCATACATATCATAACATCATCCTAGAACATGTCCTTAACCATTTCAAGGATCTCAAGGGTTTGTCATGCAGGTTGTGATAAATCAGACATCTAGCAAGGCGCAAGGGGATTTATTTTCCTCTAGCTAATGTCGTCAAAAGATCAAAACACGACAACTTGAGTCAGGGGCTATGACCCACTTGATATGGTGAGCTTGACTCTCGTAGAAGGACACTCTACAATACAAAGTTCTTCCCTCAAAGCTACAAACTTCAAATGCTGACATCTTCTTGTTTACCCCGCGAGTCCTTGAAAATATTGCATACGCATATCATACATGTTATTGCATAAACAGGTTTCAAAGCAGGGTTCTCATCTTCTTCGTTGTTTATTTCAGCAAGTAAAGAAATGGATCTCGAACAAACAATCAAAGACCTTCAGGCTCAAAACGCTCAGTTCCAACAAATGTTCCTGACTCTGACCCAGGGGCAAGAAAACCTGAGAGCTCTGCTCATCAAAAAGAAGGCTAAGAAGGCAAAGAAACCAGTTCGTGTTTCGAGTGTGGAAAGAAGAAGACCAGTTAACCGAGCTCTATATTTCGCAACCTCATCAAAGGGAGGGGATAATCAAGAGGAAGAAGACGAGGAATCAAATGAAGGAGACAAAAATCCAACGTCTGAAGAAGATGAATCTGACTATGATGAGGAGCAGTATCCTCCCGCTGATGAAAAATACAAATAACTGAAGGATCGACTCAATGCCATGGAGATCCAGAGGGTGCCCGATCTGGATTTTGAAGATTTAGTCTTGGTTCCAGGGGTGGTCATCCCACTTAAGTTTAAGGTCCCCATATTCGCTAAATATGACGGCGTCTCCTGCCCTAAGTTGCACTTAAGGTCCTATGTCAGGAAGATCCGGCCTCACACTGCTGACCAGAAGTTATGGGTCCATTTCTTCCAAGAAAGTTTGGCTGGGACTCAACTGGATTGGTTCTATCAACTAGAAGGAGCTGACATCCATACCTGGGAAGACTTCGATACTACTTTCTACAAGCAGTACCAATACAACGTGGACCTGGCACCAACTAGAGTACAACTACAGAATATGTCCATGAGCTCAAGAGAGGGGTTCAAGGAATATGCACAAAAATGGAGGGATCTAGATGGCAGGGTACAACCCCCTCTGAATGATCGTGAAATGGTAGACATGTTCATGGGCACTCTGACATGCCCATTCTTCAATCTGCTGATTGGGAGTTCCTCATCTAGGTTCACAGAGATGGTTCTGACTGGAGAAAGGATCGAAAATGGTATCAAGAGCGGGAAGATCCGGATGGCTGCATCTTCTAATGTTGAGAAGAAGTCATTTGATGGTAAGAGGGAAGCCAATGCTGTACAGAAGGGTCGTAATAAGGCAGACTACCACCAATTTGTAGGGGCAGTGCTGGTCTTTAATTCGGCACGCGTACAACGACCACAAAAATGGTCAAATCAGCAAAGGCAAGATGAGCCGAAGAGACAATTTACCAAGCTCAACATGCCACTGTCTCAAGAATTTCAACACTTGATGAGGACGAATATGATTACACTGATAGGACCTCATATAAACCCCAAGACTTCCTCTCCTAACTACAATCCTGATGCAAGGTGTCCCCATCATTCTGGCAGTCCTGGGCACGACTAACAATTGTTCGACGCTGAAATACATGATTCAGAATATGATTGACGCCAAGGAGATTGATTTTAACCCTCCTGAGACTCCCAACGTGGTCACTGCTCCCATGACAAATCATGGCTAGGATTGAAAGCATTTTTGTCATTTGAATTCTCAAGTTGTATTTTCTTTGTTTATTCAAATAATTATTGTCATGCCAAAACTTTATTATTTTATTAATGCATTACACATGTTTGTCTTGAATTAATTTATTTTTATTATGCTTAAACTGCTTTATACTTCCTTTTCGTGATATTCAACTCTCGATCAAAAGCTCTAAGCCTTTAGAGGGAGGATGGCGAAAACGATACCGCAATCCATACAATATACTTTTGAACAGGCCTTGATGACGATGTACATGCGTTGTTTCAAATCCTAAACAATGGAGTTATAAGGAAGATAATCCCTAGTCAACCCCTTTGAGCCAAATAAGTAGGACTTTTTCTTTCACACAAATTAAAACCCTTAATCGTAACCTGGGACAGGGTAGTTTCTCAGTTAATTCAGACGCGCATTCAGTCGCAATCTTCTGCTTCGTACACAATGAATGACATCGAAGACGTCCTTCCAAATCAAAATATGGTGATGGTTCCGCATAATCGTCAAGACAGGAAGTCTCTCAAAATAAAAGCCCGTTAAGTCAAAACCTATGAAGGAAACTTAAGAAAAAGAAAAACTGGGGCATCCTGCAGACTGTAATCACAAAAAGAAACAGTTCAGGCAAAAGACAGGGATAGTAAAATAAAAAACAAAGAGGTCCTACAAATCCTCGACAAAAAAGATTACAAAAATGACTGCCTCATCAAAAGAAACTTTTAGTATCCGAACCATCACCGGAACATCAAGGACAATATTCCATAACTCAATGGGGATTCGAAATGCACAATTAACTGAGCATAGGACTGAAGAATATCACGAAGAATGGGTGGGTACAAATAAAATTTGAGCCTTTATCATTTGTTTCTTAAAACCGTGAACCAGACTACGTTATAACCCTTAAAAGTCCTAGCTGAAGCATGAGTTAGTTCGAGAGCATACTGTTACAAAGGTATCCTGACTCCTGTAAGGTTTGCTATAAATCATGAGTTGATATCACATTCTTGCAAATTTTGTTTTACTACAAAAAACGTATTTTCAAAAATTTCAAGACAAATATGAGCTTTGCATTCTTTAAATGACAT